ATCTTAATAAACCCATCCCGGAACAACAGAAACCTGAAAAAAAAAAAAAAACATCATAACAAGGATATATTGTCCTGAGTTAATTTGTCTATGGAAGAGAAAAAAAACAATCTTCTAAAGTCACTAATTTTATGAGAATGGTGGGCAATATGAGTAGTTCAGTAGATTACAGAGTGATAACCATCATAGATGCCCCAGGAATGGGAAAAGGGAGGGTCACACTGAAGAAATCAGACCAACAGAGAGAAAAAAGAACGGAGATATACAATAACCCCACACAGGGAAAAGAGAGAACATATTCAGCCCATAAACAGCTGGCAGAAATAATGCCATTATGAAAAATAGAGTCTTGTTCCTGCCCTGAATGATGTTAAATAGGCTTGTTGTCCTTCACTGTCTGTCATCTAAACTTCAGATAAACGCCTTGTCATAGATTTTATTGATAAGAACAACAACTGGTCATTATATTAGAAAACAGTCAGTACTAAAAGACGTTAACTGAACCAGACTCAGTGTGACGAGATGGCCTTTAGAGAACATAATGAATGGCTGTTATGAATAAGATCTGTCTCTTATACTGTGGCAGAAAGAATGAAGCCAAACAGACTGACTGCAACCAACACTATTACAGTGCGAGGATTACAGCAGATACTTGTTTGAGATACTAAAACAGTGCATCTTCTGTGTATATACATCAGCTGGTATTGGCAAACATTATTAGGTCTCATGGGAAAAGTTGCTGAATGTAATAGGCCAGACCGGCCGATTGCAACAGACAAGCCTGGTAAGGTCGGGGGTCACTGACCTCTCGATGGATTCTAATGAACTCTTGCGGGTCACCTTTCGCCCATGGAGGCAGCTCCACATCTCCCAGAGCGGTACCATCCTCCATATAGCCTATAGAGATATGGATATACAGGACATACAGCATGCTGGGTCACATCACACATCACTGTGTTTCATCCTTAACAGGAGTTTAAAGACACCCTGCGGAGTTTCTTTTTTGCCACTGGTGACACTATGGAGCAATGTTTTGATTTGTGGTTCCCTGTTTTGTTTGTCATTTGTGTGCCCAACAGGCACCTGAGTAATTCAATCAACACCCCACTACCTGATGTAAACAATGCAGGTTCACACTCAAATGTTTTCTGTAAAAGGAAATGCATTGCAACGAGCAGCAGCAACTGCTGGGGCTGAAAGTCAACACACAAGTGCTACTTGAGGCTGGCTCCAAAAGAGAGTCAATCCTTATAGACATTCATGTTGAAATGCCCAACTTGACAGCAGAAATAAACAGCCTGGCTCAAAAAACAGTTTTGGTCTCTGTAGCTAATTTACCCGTTCATAACAAATGTATAATGGGATCATTTTATATAACTCACTTGTTTAAATTTTATTAAGGCTTATGACTATGCATAATTAGGGGAGTGGCTGCTTTGAGAGGCAGGCTGGCGATGGACTGCGGACCCCTCCACAGCTCCAGCATTTCGTCTGAATATGGTAACTTCTATCTCCAAAAATCAAAGATGGCAATGGTCAAAATGCCGAACTTGACACTTCAAAACAGGAGTCCACAAGCCAAAAGGTGAAGTCACAGTGCCTACATCCATTTTTTTTTAAGTCTATGAATTCCACACATTTGTTAGGGTTCTACAATAAACACAGTGTGTTTTGGTAATTTAAAAAACATAGAATATTTTTGTGTATTTTGTGATTTTTTTATAAGGAAACTCAACCGTGTTCCTTTAAAGAATAAGGCTATTGTATCATTTATTGCCACCACATTACTTTCAAAGAACAAAACCAAAATAAATTGATTGTGCCAGCAAATATTGACTATGTAGCCAGAGGAAAATATAGCTTGTTCCTTTGTGCATCACACCTCTATTGTTGTCCAAAAACTATTAAAAACACATCAGTGAGTCACACTATTGCACTGGGTGATTTGTTCCCTTGTTGCAATAAACATCAGGTTTTAAAGATTTATGTCTTCTGGAAACAAATGGACCTGAGATTTAAAGCTACAGACAGGGAAGGGCAGGGAAGTCGGACAGTGCTGAGAGATAAATTAAAGCATTGTTGGTTTGGGTCTTTTGATGGGATTTGTTGACAATAAGAAACTAACAATAGTGCTTGTACAAGGCAAATATCTTCAGATTCATAGTCATTCATTTAGCTACACAGAGGATAATCTTTAAGCTGACCCAGCTGGATGTGGTTGGAGTTGAGCAGGAAGTCCGGCAGGTAGAAGAACTCTGGGATCAGCTCTCTGACGTCCCCTGTGTTGTCTCTGGAGGCCGACTCCCACTCCTTCTTTACACTGTAAAACATCCGCTCTGCGATATCAAACCCTCCCTGCGGGGACGAGAGAAGCAGCACTGTCACACCCCTCGGCACATCATTCAACCAAACTTTGTACCAGGCATTATTAATACAGTAGTCTGCTCGATTCAGTGCAGTGAACCACATTTTATATTCTTCATTGTGTTATGTAAGCAGGAAATATTTGCTACTATTTGAAGGAAGCTTTTCATCTTTCTGTAAAATTCCATAATCTATGATGGAAATCTCACGAGAGAGAATGTAATTTAGAGTAAAACAATTACCTCAATGAATGAAAATAACATATATACTGGTAAACTCGGTTAGAGATGTAAATCCAGTTATGGATATTACCACACGCCCGTTATTCGCTTCAGAAGACAAAAAGGCACTGTAATTCACCAGACTAACATCTTCATTGCTTTATTCTGACTATCAAATATGCATGCCTTTTCATTATAATCAATTGGACGCTGTATTGTAAATTGGTAACATGTGTGGCTATTTGCATTGGGTTTTTTTGGATGCTTTCTGTAATTATTTGCATATATATTGAAATTTCCCTATAATCTGCTTTCATACCAAAAACAGCATTTAAACAGGATCTGGAGTGCTGAAAATAGCTCCTGTTAGAGTCAGATTATTAGCAAGATAATGTTTGAGAGTAAAAATGATGAATGTGGATGGGCATCTGGAGCAGTGGGTTTGCAGGGCCTGTGGATTAGTGGAAACAGACTGATACACAACAAACTGAACTTCCATTTCTTTAGAAAAATCCACACCACACCTGCAGTGATCAGCAGGGGTTACACTCAGAATCTGACCGACATTATAACTTTATACATTTATCATTTACTGTAAAGTGTCTCCGTGTAATTTATATGCATGTATTCATGTGTGTGAGACTCCAATCTGCTAGATAAGCCTTGTATTTGAGCCACTAAGATGTGGGTAGCACTGAAATCTTGTGCTGCAGATTTGTGGTTCAGATTTTCTTTGATGCATCAACACACAACTTCAAGATCTGATTAAAGGCTATGGATTCGAAAACGCTTCATCCTGTTTGCTATCACTGCAACTTACTGTATTCATCTCTATCATTCTGCTTTAATGACTGACCTTCTGATGTCCTGATAAGACATTTACTGTGATATGGTGACATCAGAATGAGTAGTTATACAGCCTAACTGTTTAGTATTATCAAGGGTGTGGGGTTTGCATCAATATTAGAGGGGACACATATTAAACTGAGGGTTTGGGGGTTCCTCCCCAGGCAATTTTGAGCATCAAACACTTGATTTTTTTTAATGCATAAATGTTTTCAATGTCTTTAATGTCATCAAAATAAAAGTCCTCTGCTACTACTTTCATGTTGTTATTGGGAGGGCCAAATGAAAGCTTTTAATACTGAGGGGGACGTGTCACTGGCAAAATCTACACATATGAGTATTATACTTTTGCTTTTGTGATAGATACATTTAATGTCATGGTACAAACCATTAGAAAGGGTTCACCTTGAAAAAATCTTCCATTTTGATGCTATGCTATTCTGAACTTAAGAATTTTTTTGTGGAAACTGGTCAATAACAGCAGCCTGAGGAATTGAAATATTGCCTTAAAAAGAGATTTGGAGCCTTCACTGTTCAGACCTCCTTTGTGCCTTGCAGTGAAGTATTTTTTGTCTAGCAACTGAATGTTTCTTGGGCACATTTTTCCTCCCAGCGTCCTCACTGTGGGCCATCGAATTTTATCTGATACCAGCTCATTCATTTTAAGGGCATAAAAATGACCAACAATAACCAACCTGCAGTGTCTGGAAGGTGTGTGAAAACGGCTCCATCCTGACAAGGAAAGAGGCGACGATGATGGCTGAGGAGTAGTGAGTACAGTAGTGACACTGTGTTGACAAATCTCCTGTAGAGCAAAAATGTTTTAATAAAAAGTACAGTGACCAGCAAAAAATAAGAATTAAAAGTGAAGAGCTGAATACATTTACCTTCACCCTCAATGTTCTCAACTTCTTCATATCTTTGGATGAACATCTGTCTCCTTTTTTCTGTCTGAGCTCCCATCGGCTTAGACAGGTCACGGAAGGTCGCAGGATTCGACAGATCGAGCGTCTATCAAGGACAGGGATTAATCAAACCACGTTTATCACCTACAATATGGATTTTAAAGAAAAAGATGTCCCTGTGTGTGGGCTTACATCTGACTGGTAGTCAGCTAAGACCCAGGGGAAGACTGGATACTGCATCAGGTCATTGTATGTCCTCCCAGCGATGGTGTTCAGATGCATCAGATACTCAAAGTTACTTATTTCCCCTCTCTGGAGGACAGAGAAGAGTAATATGAAGTAGATAACCACCTTTCACAACACAGGAATATAGTTGAAATCAACATTTCGGCAGTTTGCATTGATATCAAAGGAGAAAAAAGCTAATCTGAAAACAACTCTGACAAATGGTTGTGTTTATTACGTTACCTGCCATTTAACAAGGGCTGCCTTTTCAACCACAGGAGTCTTCCTAAAGCACAATAAAAAAAAAAAACTTGAATTAGCATCAGAGTCTGATCGCTGAGCAGTGCCTACCAGCACAAAGTTCTTTGCTTGCTCTGTTGCCTAGCAACCCATGTTGAAATGTAGCACAGCAGAGATTAAGCAGCAAAGCAGAGGTAAGTGAGTGTGTACATAGCTGTAGGAGCCGTTATGGGACCGAGGTGAGCTACAGTTTGTAGCATAAATAGTGAGTGTAGATGTGGAGGAAGTAGCACATGTTGCCATCTGTAGGTTGTGTGGAAATTTACTTTGAGTAAAAGTGTAACTTGTCTGACTGACTCCAACAGCAGAGTGAGACATCTAAACGAGGAAGTAATGTTTTCTTTGTGCAGTGTTTTGAAAAGACATGATGAAGTTAATGATTACTGGTTAAACAAGGAACACCTGTCTTTCGAATTTTTGTCACATAGCGGTTTGCTGATGTCCAAGAAAAATGTAAAGACTTCCTGCTTCATAGCTAAGACAAACACTTTCTCCTCCAGCTGTTTTTTCATTTAGTCGGTGTTAGGTGTTTGTTCAAAGACTGTTGTAAGGTCATCTTTTACCAGGACATTCAAACAGACTTTAAAGTCTTGTTTCTAACAATCTGCTAAGTACAAAAACTGCTCAATTAAAATACCTAGTTTTCAATAAATTTACAAGCATGTGTTTGGGTAAACATATAAACATTTATACTAAACGGCAACGTTGCTGAACATTTGTTTTCACATATTTTAGTCATGTTTCACCTATCTAAACTTGTTTAATCTAAATTAAGAAAGCATTCAACTGCTCCTGAAATCTCTTTTCCCTCTGTGGCCAGTAACATGGCAATAAAGTCCTGGCGCCAAGCACCCCAGTTGCTTAGTAACGACATTAAACAAGGAACCTTGACTTTCCCTGTTCGGTGTAGGGAGGCTTGGGAAATGCTGATATACACAAGCGGTGCATTCCTGATCTTTCCTCTGGATTTGGCGCTAGGATTACCAAGTATTATCAGAACAACTTGTACATGCTGACTACATCAGAAATGTTTTAAAGAGTTTTTATGCTTTGTTGCTGTGCTATAACGTTATAACTTCACCGAAGGAGAGTTTTTTGTTACAAGGGCAAGAGGCTTCGAGCTGAATGGCTGGTTCACAGGAGCTAAAGCTGTTGGTGTGTTTTTAAAACTGAAGACAATCTCATCAATCAATTAACATCAACTCAGGAAAAAAGGAAATAAAAAATGGTGAGTACATATATTTTCATTTCTGTTAAAAATACAAACAAGAACCCAGCAGGATACCCACTGAAAAATGAAATAATGATGCAAACAGTAACTGGGTTCAGAGAACGAGGGGCTACTTGAAGTGTATCCAATAACTCCTCCCCTCGTCCAATAACTCCTGACCAAATTATTTTGTAAAACTACACTAAATCAATCATTGCATTTGGCCCAGTATGTGTTATCTAATTGCAGGCAATAATTTCATGCAATAGTTTTCTATAGGAGGTTATAATGGGAACAAGCACCAGTGGATAACCTCTCTCATCCTGAGGATGATGAATGAGGCGAGAGAGGGCCTTGGGGTGTAACACAGACACAAACAGACACACACCTTGCTCTTTTAGACAGGGAGGGGAGAAGAGCGGAGCCCTCATCACACTCCCAACACTCCCCAACTATCATTTATCAAAGTCCTGATTTGACTCTTTGTGCACGCGCACATGTACTGTATTTTAGTACATTCATGTCTGTCAATACACTTGCATGTGAATGTACCGAACACACACACAGACACACACACACACCTTCCTTGCCTGAAAGGAGCCAAACAGCTCAATCAGTTGAATGGTGAGGGAGCATCAGCACTCATTTGTTTTTGCTGTATTACCCAGTGTCGCCTCTCTCCTATTGTTCCCCTGCATTAGCCTTAATTAGAGAGTCGTGCTCTTAAATACCCCCATGGGCAACACTGGGTGAGCACGCACTAGTGCAGACATAACACTGCAGACACACGCACGTGCACTCACAGAGACATACACACACACACACACACGCACATATACACACACACACACAGCTCAAGCTCTCATACTTCAGAGAGCATGCTTTCCCTCCTGCCCCAGGCCATACATAAGCCCGTGTATCTGAATAAATCACATCAGCCTTACACACACATACTTACACGTAAACATACACACAACACATTTATTTGCTATAGTACTACGTGTTGGTGTAGATTAGATAAATTATTAGAAATCAGCCTCTTGGGGGCAAAAGTGACACTGATCTGAAATTTTAAATTGTGCCGTTCAGTAATTCTCTGTGTTGCAGTACCATGCCCAAGGGGAAGGGAGCCAAAGGGACAAAGCTGACCCTCAAGATTGCCAAAAAGGCAATACGAATGACCCCAGATGGACGGCGCCGACTCACCCTTAGTAACATGGGGATAACCATCTTCCCAAAGTGTCTCCTAAAACTGACCAATGTGGACGAGCTGGATCTCAGCCGCAACCTGATACAGAAACTCCCAGATAACATCGGCAACTTTGCGTCACTCAGATGGCTGGATCTACACAGCAACAAGCTGGAGTCTCTGCCCGAATCCATTGGCAACCTGGTGGGACTGACCTACCTCAACCTCTCAAACAACAGGCTAATCTCTGCAGGTTTGCCCTCCACACTGGGTCTTCTCACCAGCCTGAAGAGTCTCAATCTGGGGATGAACCAGCTGGACACCCTGCCCTCCACTATGATGGCTCTGGATAGTCTCCAAGAATTAGGTCTGTTTGATAACCTCTTCATCAGTCTACCAGAGTTCCTGAAAGTCCTGCGCAACCTCACCAAGCTGAACATCACACGAAATCCTCTATCGTATGTTCAGGGGGATGTCGAGGGGATGCAGCAGGGAAAATCAAAATCAGAGGAAGATGGCTATTTGGTCCATGAAAGCAGCCTGTGTAGGACATGCCTCAAGAGATGTAAAGAGCAGAGGGAAAGGCCTACAAGAGGAGGAGGAGGAGGAGGAGGAGAGGGAGGTGGTGACAGATTTGAGGAAAAAAGGATAAGGACTTATCAAGGCCTGATGGCGCCAAACTCAGTGGCTATAGTCAGTCAAGACGTGTGGAGAGTAAGGAAGGTGGAACACAAGCTAATCAAATGACCAAACAGAGCCACAAAAGTGTTCTTAACTACAGAACAAATAGAATGAATGCCACTTTTAGGCAGCTCTAAAACTTTAATAATATCTGCATAATACATTACTGTATGTCCACGCAGCTATTTCCTTGATGTATTTTGTCTCAGTTGGTGAAACAAAATGAGTAATTACTTGTAACTGTTGCTCTTGGATGACTGTGCATAAAAAGTGGCCCACAATAAAAGATTTTTCAAATCCTGACTGATGTTGAAAATGTGAGACCCTTTACATAACGACACGTAATAATAAATTTACCCCTTTGTTCTTATAGTGTGTGGACAGCTATGATTTGGCCAAAACAGCACACCACACACTGACAGATTCCTTTCACCCACAGCCATAGTCCCTACTCTCAAAACGTGAAAATTTGCAAATCTCTCACAATCAAACATTATTGCAAGAGATTTGTTCTGAGTTGAATCCCATTTCATATTGTATTATAGCCGTCTGAGACCTGGGGCACCGATAGTTCACTTGATAGAGAGTGAGCCTTAGCAGGAGTCCTTTGCAGGAGTCCTTAGCAGCAGCCCAGCTCAGAGTCTGACCTGTGGCCCTTTGCTGCATGTTGTCCCCTCTCTATCTCCCCACTTAATGTCTATCTATCATATCTAATAAAGGCAAAAAGCCAAAACAATTATTAAAAAAAATATATATAAATATTAAATACTGAACATGTTGAATATTTGCAATTTGAAATTAGTGTGCCCAGGATGAACTACGGAGAAGATTGGGTGATGTAGAAAACACTCTTAAAGGTCTGGTGTGTAAATTTAAGGGGATTTAGTGGCTTGAAGTGGTAAGGATTGCAGATTGCAACCAGCTGAAACTTCTCCCGGTTAGAATTCCTTCAGTGTTAATTGCTCAGGAGGTTTTTACTGGGAGCTGAATTACCCAGTAATTGTTCAAAAGGTCTCTTCCTCTCCAAAACAAGTGGACCAGGTGATTTAAACCAGTATAAACACTGAATAAAGCAGTTTCACGTTAAAAAAAATCTGTGTTTTTGTAACACTGCTTGTCATGGAGGGGCTGCTAACTATGGCGTCTGATGCAAAAACGCAAACAGCCATATCTTGAGGCAATGTTTGGTTTGTCCGTTCTGGGCTACTGTAGAGACACGCCAATCTCCATGGACAAGGACCCACTCCCTATGTAAATAGAAACATCTCATTCTAAGGTAACGAAAACACAATGGTTCTCGTTTTTTGGTGATTGTACACCAAAGAAAACATACTTATTGCATAATATTTCTTTCTGCCAAGATAGCTCTTTATCATATCTCACACTAGAAGAAAGATCATCTTTAGAACCGTCAAAAAAATGGGGCTGTGCTAACGTTTGTCAGGAGAGGGGAACTGAGCCCAAAATCGGCTCCATTCTAGCGTAGCGTATGACACTTACCTGGCATTAGCAATGACCTCAGCAACCCCTCTGCCTTTTAATGCTGACACTACCGAACACAACCTGCAGGGAGAAAGAGAGAGGAAAAAGCAAGAATCAGAGTCATCATAAAGCTGAAAATAAAAATGCATTGTTTAACATTTAGTTTGTTTAGATGTCGTACCTTTTATATGCAGAGACATGGTCTTTATTCAGGAATACCAGAAAGGCTGAGAGTCCGTTTTTCATGAAGACCTCGATAGCATTGTCCTGATAGAAACAGAGAGACACAACTAGTTGAAAACAACTGCAAGAGCAACTAAAATGCACATGCAAGTGCTCAGAGACAAACATTTACATCCAGTGTGAATGTATTCCAACTAAAGCCTGTGTAGACACAATCTAAATGTCAGATGCATGTTAATTCAAGGCTTCTGTGGGAGCATTAGGGTGTCTGACCTCTAAAAGGAATCGCATGAAGCGGGCATCCTTGATGTCCTCATAGGCCCAGCGTCTGCAGCGGGCTGGTGGCAGCTCTTTGCTCAGCACTGTGGACATAAAGGAATCCCTCACACTGTCAGAGAAAGAAAGGGACACAGGGGATGACAAATGACTGACTGGGGCAACTGAGAAGCTAATGTATACTCATTACGTTTTGCTGTAACTGCAGTGCACACGACTGTACGGCACACACAGCTGTACCTGCTGGGGTGGTGTTTCCTGCAGCAAACATCTCCACCAGGACTCAGAGTGAATCCCTCACACAAGAGCAGGCTCTCCTTCCCAAACAACAACACCCCCTCCGTCACTCTGAGGCCACTCACTGTCACTACACACATCTTAGCCTTTACCTACAGAGACAGAGAGAGAGATACATTAAGCCCATTGTGAGCGGCGCCATACACATCAGCACTCCTCTCTCCCGGGACATGACATGGCAGCCACGCAGGCACTTCAGGCTTGACTTGATTGATCATTTTAATCACATATTCTAATCATTATTAAAAAGACACAGTTGAACACTTCATTATCAGAGCTGATTGATGGGGAGCGGTGTGACTGTGTGTTTCATCCTGCGCCAAAATGGACCCACATGCTGCTTTCAGCGCCGGTTGTAGCTAATGCTAACTGCATTGTGATAATGTGTGGCTAATTCTATTGTCTCCCCTCATTTCACAGTGAGTGTGTGCACCTGGCCGTCTCCCTGTGTTGGCCCCTCCGCAGGCCCTCTGGGACACGGCGCCCAAAAACCATATGGGGCCCCCCAACATACCCGCAGGCCCCTCACAATTTATACTAATCAAATCAGATTCCCTACCCCCAGACACAGTCACACACTTGGTGGAGGAGGAGGAAGCATTGCCTGGCCATTATTAGGAGAATTAATCACTGCCAAACACACAATGGGAAACCTGCTAAGTGATCAGAACCTCTTGTATGAATGGACACATAGAGCGACGCAATGATGGATAATATCACTTGTCACGTGAAAGCATTTAAGAAGGTGAGTCTCAGCTACGTGGCACAGAAATCTTGCATTGAGCTATATCATGGTCAGATTTTATGGCAGTATTCCACCAGTGAATACAAACTGGCGTCAGGCTGACTGTCCCTAACAATGACTAGATTTCAGAAAAAAAACACATTTATTGTTATCAAAGATTAAATACATAACAATAAACTTGTTTCCTTATCTTCTTACTGTGCAATGGACAGATATGCGTTATCAGTCTGTGGGTGATTTAGCTGATGATGGGAAGAAGGAGAGAAAAGGAGGACTTTTATTGACTGAGAGCCTAATGTCAGACCATTGATTTCTCCCCACACACATTACTGTCATAATCACACTATTGGCGCTGGCAAGCTAATTATGAGTGGGTCTCCCTTTGTGTGTTTCTGCGTGTGTGTGTTAGTCCGATGAGTGTGTGTGTGTGCATTTTTCAGAGCTAATGACTGTGTTCATTTGACAGGAAGCTCAGCAGGACTCACACACTGAACCACTGCAAGACAACAGGACACACTTGCACACATCACACACTTACTAAGCGGATGTAAGACAGCTTGCATCACCTCCTACTGTTTTTATTAATACTTCTGTCAGAAACATTAAAAGCCGCGGCTGGTTGCCGGAGTGATGAGAGTCCCTGTCAACATGTGCCTTGGTTTCTAACTCGCTGGAAGAATGAGAAGAGCTGAGCTGGGCCTCGACATTAAAACATTACACTAATGAGGAAAGATGAAATTCTGATAGCAGCGCTGGGCTATTGGAATCCCTTAGTCTACATCAGATAATTATGATTGTGAATATTAGCAGGGTGAGAAGGAGGCATGTTGTTTTTAACCCAGCATACCAACACACCGTCCTGCACTACAGTACCTCCTCTCCAGGGCACAGCTCCTGCAGGATGATACATATGTCGTGGCAGTCGCGTGTGTGGGAGCAGGGGTCGGGGGTGATGGGGTCAAGTGCACCCTCGGTGACAGCAGTTGTCTCATTCAGGACAGGGAAGAACGTCAGATGGTCACAGTCCTTTCCTCCCTCCTCTTCATCCTCTTTTGCCTCTGCTCCGACTTCACACAGGATCTTTGGCTCTGTTACATTGGAGACAAATTTTCCTACTGATCTTACATCCAACACCCACATATACACCGTTTTACACCATATGAGCTCAAGTTTCATTCAGGATTCTTGGAACTTTGGTGCTATCTAACAAACCAGCCAGTGTTTCCACCTGTTTGAGCTGAACCATTGTAATCAAGGATGTGTCGTCAATGGAGGCCGCTGCACAATGCACAATATGAGTAAACAGCAGTACTAATATGGCAGATCACATTCTACCTGTGAGCTTTTGCCCTGTTATTACAGATAGTGTGTGGACCAACTATTAATGATGAGAAGACATAGAACAGTATTACGTGCAAGACTCCGTCCTCTCTTTCTAACCTGTGGAATATGACACACCCACTGATGTCATCACGGTTCACACTTTGGGTCAAGGAAAACCTGCTATTTTTTGGTTCCAGCTGGGAACCAACTTTTGAGGTTGCGAACCAATTCACCTGTTGGTCGAAATGCTCCAAACTGTTCATAATTAGGTGCAGGAATCGGAACAAAACCTGTTCCATGTTGGTGGAAAAGGGTAATGGAATTTTTCCATTGAGTTTTGTTTAATTGCAGAAAATACGCTCTGTGGCAAACAAAAGTTTATGACAGTGATTCCCAACTAGTCCAGCCACGGGGTGCAGATTTCTCATATTTGTTCAAGGTCCACACAGTTTAATGGACTCATCGTCATACTTGCTTTTGGCCAAGTCACTGGGTTAGCTTGTTGTCTGTGTTATATAGCTGTCCATTAGTCACATACTCTGTAGCAGGAAATGGTACTTCACTTCCAGAAATTCACTGTACTTCAAAATACGTTTTTACAAAATTGACACATTTGCGAGTCACTTGTGGTCGATTCAGAATGGACTCAGGACCCACCAAGGGTACACTGGTTTACAGTCCTTATAAGTTTTATTCAGCAAGATAAGCCTCACAGATGAACTCCAATTTTATGATTTTTGAAGCCTAAATGCAATAACCAGAAGTAAAGAGCTAGTATTAGGCTAACGAACTATACTACAGTCGCACCACTTCAGCATCGCCACGACAAAGCAGTGTGATGCTGTTCTGTCGTGTAATTTAGCCACTTGTTAGCAACAGCCTTTTTTAAAGACATCTAAAAGCTTGTGTTAACCACAGACCTTATTTCAGGCATCTAACCAAAAACTAATTCAAAAAACCCACTGACATTGAGACGAGGGAACTGGAAG